GCCTATTCTCATGCTCAGCTTCTTCGAGTTTTTTTATGTCTTCATATAATTCAAGTTGTTCAAGTTGTTCACGTAGTCTATTTCCGTAACATTTTACTGCAGTGTGATATCATTAGGATCTTCTTCTCTATACCTGCACCAACTTGTGCTACAATTGTCAACCGAGTTCGCCCAATATTTTCGAGATTTGAAAAATCCTGTCAATGAAATTATGCGGGGATTTTTCAAGCCGAGCTCTCGACTTCTTATCAACTGAACAATTGATGTTTCCAGATTCTTCTTCAAAAGTTGTTCCCGCTTATACTTAAGTAATTCTTCAACACTAGTTTTCTCCTCTTTCTCTCAAGCTCAATTGTTTCCACCTCTGAAGCAATCCAATCATCGATATCTTCATTGCCGATGATAGAAACGTTTTTTTCAGCCATAATAGGAGATCAACGAAACACAAGTCTAATGAAAAGAACAACGAAATAGTATTCTACTGTCGCAGACTCCTCTTCATTATATATCTTTTAATATTCGTAATATTCTTCTTCTCTCGATCAGAACTCGGAGACGACTGATTGATCCATGGTTTTTTTCTATGCTTCGAAGGGTCACACTAGTGTAGCGATTGCACAACGACATACGTTCAACATTCTTAATCTCTTCCTGGTACACCCCCGATATAAGTAATTGTAGATTCTTTCCCCGTTCGAAGTATCCATATCTCTCTCTCTCGCATTGGATTACACAGCATGCACATTTATAAACAATATAAACAAATGGTGCCTCCCTGAATCGTCCTCCGTAATTTTTTTCTCGGAAGAAACGCCGATTTTCGATGGGTCGACGACGCGTCGAATTTTAACGCATTATCAATAGCGTTAGATTCACCCACGGGGTATATCCTCGAAGTCGATCTCGAGTACTCGCAACATCTTCATGATACGCACACCGACCTACCGTTTTGTCCGACACGCGACAAGCCGCCCGGCAAGCGGCAAGACAAGCTCCTCGCAACGTTGTACGATAAGAAGCGTTACGTGATACACTACCGTAACCTACAGCAGTGTACGCGTCACGGCTTTCGTGTGACAAAAATACATAGAATTTTTACAGTTTTCTCAATCTCAGTGGCTTCAAAATTACATAGAATTAAATACACATTTCAGAACACTCGCGAAAAACGATTTCGAGAAAAATTTATATAAATTAATGAACAACGCGGTGTTTGGCAAAACGATGGAAAATGTGTGTAATCGGGTCTATGTAAAATTATTAACAAAATGGGACGGTCGGTTCGGCGCGGAAGCGAAACCGAATTTCCATAGCAGAAGCGTTTTTTCGGAAAATCTGATTGCGGTAGAATTGCGTAAACTCGAGGTGAAATTTTACAAACCGATTTACGGGTATGTGCATACTTGACATATCCAAGACGTGTCTGTACGAATTTCATCACGAGTACATATATCCTCTGTATCGCGACAAATGTAAGATCATGTACACTGACACAGACAGTCTCATATATCACATTGAATATGCGGATGTCTATGAGAACATGAAGCGCGATATCGCCAGATTTGACACGAGCGATTATGCGGTGGACAATGCGTACGATATATCGCTGGTAAATAAAAAAAGTGCCGGGTCTGATGAAGGACGAAAATAACGGTGCGATAATGACCGAATTCCTCGGGCTCAGGGCAAAGATGTACGCGTTACGAGTGGACGGAAAGAAAGACACGAAGAAAGTTAAAGGTGTCAAGAGCAACGTTGTCGCGAGAACGATAACCTTCGAAGATTACACGCGGTGTTTAAACGAAGAGATCGAAATGACGAGCAGTCGTGTATACGATCTAAACTGCACAAAGTGTATACCGTCCGCGAGACGAAAATTGCTTTGAGTCCGTACGACGATAAGCGGTATATCGTACCCGAAACCATAGATATATTACCGTGGGGACATTATAGGATACCATTGTAATATGTAATGTAAAATATAAAATGTAAAATATAAAATATAAAATATAAAATGTATTTTACTGTTAAAAGAATAACATAATATATAATATAATATAGAATATAGAATGATAATATAATAGTATGATAATATGTATATGTAATAATATGTATATGTGATAATATAATTAATATAATTACGATGATAATATAATTAATATAAGTACGGTGATAATATAATTGTATGTTCTAACATATTTTCGCGCTCCTCGTCCATGTTTTCACTAGGAACAGGTAATATAAAATTTAGATCATCAGTCATCAAGTCGTAATGTAAATAGCCTAAATGATTGATTTTATATGTTTTGGTCAATAAATTATATACACTTCTGTATGTTCGAAAACATTGTTCGCAATCGGTGATGGGTTGCACCTCCGTTAGCACCTTCCTTCATATTCCCGTCTTTGACAGCGCTCGATGGTATAAGGTTCTTGACTAAGTTCGTGTCGACTGAATGGTTTTGCCATCTCGCGATGAAAAAGCCATGAATTTGGCGAAAAGCAATCCGCGCAATATTTTAATAACGGATACGGTGACTGATTTATCATACGCCCCGTGGTCTTCACGCACCTCAATGTCTGCAAGCCATGCAGAAATAGATTGGGCTGAGGTTGCCGGTATATGGGGATGCACATGCTAGTGTGAAAAAAAAATGAAAATAATCTAATTATCCACATTGTATTATTTCTTATTACTTATTTTCTTTATATTTATTTCTTACTTTCCTTCTTTTTCTTATAATATATATATACAGGGTGGGGAAAAAGTATGGAAGCAAACAATTATTTCCGAAACTATTCATTTTTCGACAAAATGTCTTAGACATAATTTTTATGGTATGAAAAGATGTATTATGTGGCATAGACGGCATGATCTTGAAATGATCCTTACGAGCTGCATATAAATAACGTAAAAAATTTCAAATGGAACTCGTCAGTTTTTGTTACAGATTCTTGTAGCTGATGTCGAAACGTTTACAAAACACTGCATATGAGCCCCATTCCCTTAAAAACACTCCCAGTTACGAAACAATTGTGATACAAACAATTTGTATGCACATTGACATTGCTTACTGATTTCGCATCATGACGTTCAGTTGCGTCCACTAATAACATGTAATTGTACCTGTTGTCATATGATACACTGTCTATGAGTATTCATAGAATTTTTTTGATTTCTTGATCATCGCTACCTTATTTATTATTATCATTTATTTTATCCTTAAAAACTTATCTTGTCTTAACTGGTTGGATGAATCGCACTTATCTTACCTTAACTGGTTGGATGAATCGCACTTATCTTGTCTTAACTGGTTGGATGAATCGCACTTATCTTACCTTAACTGGTTGGATGAATCGCACTTATCTTACCTTAACTGGTTGGATGAATCACGCAATCTCTTTCCTTGAGTACGGTTCGATGTACGCCTTAACTGATTCTACGAACTTCGCGTGTCTTTCGTATCGGCAGAAATGATCGAAGCGGGTTATTCTCCATTTGTTGCAGTAATCGTTACTGTTGTACTGATCTCTCATAATGACGTTCAGTCGCGTTACACATATTCATGTAATCACACGTACGCTGTCTATTTTCAATTTCGTCGATACGAATTGTTTCGTAACTGGAAGTGTTTTTAAGGGAATGGGGCTCATATGCAGTGTTTTGTAAACGTTTCGACATCAGCTACAAGAATCTGTAACAAAAACTGACGAGTTCCATTTGAAATTTTTTACGTTATTTGTATGCAGCTCGTAAGGGTCATTTCAAGGTCATGCCGTCTATGCCACATAATACATCTTTTCATACCATAAAAATTATGTCTAAGACATTTTGTCGAAAAATGAATAGTTTCGGAAATAATTGTTTGCTTCCATACTTTTTCCCCACCCTGTATATTTAACGTTATATATCTTCTGTTCATTATCACTCGACGTTCACTTGATTCTTTTCACTGGCCAATTCGATACTGACAGTTGCTCTATTTCTTAAACGCTCGCTGCCTTCATCTCTACCATAGACCTTATCTATTGTTTTCATTCCAATGAGATACTTGAAACTCCTATATGTTTATTCTAAGTATCATTCATCGCTCTCCCGCTATCCATCTCTTTTTCTCTCTCTTACAATATTTTACAATTGCGCGTGTGTAACACAATGTATTATACTATTAAAAGAAATATTAATGTTGACGCCGCGGCTCGCAGGCCATCTAGCGATAATGACGCGACACGACAAGGAATGACGGAGCAGACCCCGAGTAGCGATAGACGAGTCAGCACTTATGAAGGCCTTGGGCAAAAATATTCGAGAGTTCGACCCCACTTCAGGTATGTTTTTCAACACATGTATCGAACGATACCATACACTGTTCGCGGAGAACGCGAGAAATCTATCGGATTCTGCAAAGGTTAGATTGCTATTGCGCAAGTTAAACAATGCATGCCATGATCAGTACTTGAATACCTTACTACCAGATAAACCGAGCGATTTCACATTTAAGCACACTGTCGAAAAGTTAACCGAAATGTTTGGTAAAAAGACAACTATATTTAATACAAGTTACAACTGCATAACCTTGTCTAAACAACCTAACGAGGATTTCAGGGCATATGCAGCTCGCGTAAACAAGCAATGTGAAGACGCCAAAATTGGACAAATCACGGCCGACCAATTCAAATGTCTCATGTTCGTGAGTGGGCTGAATACAGACGTCGAAATCCGAACAAAACTCCTTTCACTGCTGGACCGCCCTGACAAACAACACATCACGCTGCATGACTTGATCGCGGAAACCCAACGCTTAGTAAATCTCAAACAGGACATCGCCATGGTAAGCACCCCAAGCACGCAAAATGCCGTGTCAGTCTGCGTGGTCTCACATAAGAAGGAAAAACAGCAGCAGCAAACTCAACAACTTTACTCCAAAAAGTCATACAACAAAGCCAACGAGGCGGATACATCAAAGAAGCCAAAAACACCATGTTGATTTTGTGGCGCCATGCACTATTCACGTGACTGCGGATTCAAAAACCATAAATGCAAGCAATGTGGTCAACAAGGGCACAAAGAGGGCTACTGTAGGGCCCCTAAGCCTACTAAAGAAAACCAGCCGTCTCAAGTCAAGCAGATCACTAGCGGAAAGCGAAGGAAGCACATAATGCGAGTTAACGAGATCCCAGTCAAATTACAATTAGATCGGACATCACAATCATATCCGAACCTACATGGAAGAAACTGCATCAACCAGCATATCTACCTACCGCCCAGTCCGCCCGCATAGCAAACGGAAACCCGTTACAATTATCAGGCGAATTCGATTGCACCATTCAATGCAACAATCATATAAATTCAGGTAAGGTTTTCATCCAAAATTTGAATGTCCTAGGTACAGATTGGTTCGACAAGTTGGGCCTTGGAGAAGTTCCTATCAACGCGGTGTGTACAACGATACAGTCTCACAACAGAATTCAGGCAATTCAGTCAGAATTTTCCGATGTATTCACCGATACTCTGGGTCACTGCAACAAAACGAAAATCAAGCTGCATCTCAAACCGGAAGCCAAGCCAGTATTCAGACCAAAGCGTCCAGTCGCATACGCCGCAGTTCCGACGATTGATCAAGAACTGGACCGCCTTCGAAGATGGGGTATCATATCGCCAGTCGAATATTCAGAATGGGCGGCACTCCATCGCATCGTAGTAACAAGGAAAGCAAACGGCGACGTCCGTATATGCGGTGACTACTCAACAGGACTCAATCAAGCATTAGAACCGCATCAGTATCCATTGCCAACGCCAGAGGATATCTTCGCAAAGTTAGCAAACAAACGTACATTCAGCCACCTCGACCTTTCAGATGCCTTTCTGCAGATCGAAATCGAGGAGAACTCAAGACGGTACTTAATAATCAATACGCACCGTGGCTTATTTTTGTACAACCGACTGCCATTTGGAGTAAAAACAGCCCCCGCCAGCTTCCAACAGATCATGGATACTATGATGGCAGGATTATCGGGCTCAACGGCATACATCGACGACATAGTGGTAACGGATGAAAACGAAGAAGACCACGACAAAAACTTGCGAGATCTTCTCCAACGAATCCGAGAATTCGGATTTCGACTCAAACCACAAAAATGTAAATTCTACATGAAGCAGATCAAATATCTAGGTCAAATCATCGATGAACAGAGAATCCGCGCAGATAGAACAAAAGCAATTGCAAACATGCCGGCCCCACATGACTCCGCTACACTTCGCTCGTATCTCCGAGCGGTAAATTACTACGGCAAATACATCAAGGACATACACAAATGGCGGAAACCATTGGATGAGCTTCTGAAGACAAATTCCGAATGGAACTGGTCCAGTGAATGTCAACGGTCATTTGACAAATTCAAGAGCATTCTCCAGTCAGATCTCATGCTAACGCATTACGATCCGAGGCAGGAAATTATTGTAGCAGGCGACGCTTCAAACACGGGCATTGGAGCATGTATTTTACATCGCTTCCCAAGCGGAGTAATCAAGCTTGTGTACCATGCATCCCGCACATTAACGCCAACCGAGAAATCATACAGCCAAATAGAGAAGGAGGGCCTCGCTCTAATTTTCGCAGTTACAAAATTCTACCGAATGATTTTCGGGCGAAAATTTATTCTGCAGACAGACCATAAGCCCCTTTTAGCCATCTTCGGCTCACGCAAGGGCATACCGGTCTATACGGCTAACAGACTCCAGCGCTGGGCTTTAACATTAAGAGCTTACGACTTCAACATTGAGTATGTCAAGACAGCAGATTTTAGGCACGCCGACATGTTGTCCAGGTTGATAAACCGAAACACAACAGACGAAGACAGCATCGTTGCTACAGTAAAATTGGACTCATCAATTAAACAATCATTGCACCAAGCGCTAGATACGTTACCTCTCACATTCAAAATGGTAAAGCACGCTACAGCAAGAGATAAAAATTTGAAGTCGATCATGAAAAACATTCGCGAAGGATGGAAAAAAAATTTCAAGGAAACAAGCCGAGAGCACTCTGAGTACCACAAACTCCGGGAGGCACTATCAATAATCGACGGATGTTTAATCTGGAACGACCGCCTAATCATTCCAAAACAGTTCAGAATGCGAGTTTTGGAACGACTCCATAAGGAATGGAGCGCATGAAATCAATCGCGCGAAGCTTCGTATACTGGCCGAACATCGATCACGACATACAACAATATGTACGGGAATGTGAACATTGCGCCGAAGCTGCCAAAACTCCAGTCAGAGTTCCAATAACACCATGGCCAATGCCACAAGGACCGTGGAAAAGGATCCACATCGACTTTGCAGGCCCAATAAACAATACCTACTGCTTTCTGGTAGTGGACGCATACAGCAAATGGCCGGAAATCATTGACACGCGAAGTCCAAACGCCGATTTTGTAATGTCCACACTTGAAGATTTGGTTGCACGCCACGGACTGCCGGAAACTATCGTTAGCGACAACGGTACGCAATTTACGGGCACTACCTTCAAGACATTTTGTGAGACAAACGGCATTCAACACGTGCGAACAGCACCATTCCACCCACAATCAAATGGGTTAGTAGAAAGTTTTGTAGATACATTCAAACGATACGTAAAGAAAGCAGGGAGCGAGACAGTCAACAGGAAACAAATTCAAATGTTCTTGGCAAACTACCGTACCACTCCAAATAGCAGCGCCCTAAGAGGGAAATCCCCAGCAGAACTAATGTACGGACGGAACCTCAGAACAACTCTGAGCCTATTAAAATCACCAAGCAGTCAGACACCATCAAAATTCGTGACCAGCAGCAAAGCCCAGTCCTGGTACAACAGGAAACATGGAACGAGAGACAGGAAATACGAGTCAGGAGAACATATCTATATCAAGTCATACTCCCGGAACAAATGGAGATGGACCCCAGCGATCGCCATCGAACCAAGAGGCCGAGTGATGTACAATGTACGCACATCGGACGACAAAATACGCAGGGTGCATTTAAATCAAATGCGCGCCAGAACAGACGCCAAAATTGGAAATAACCAATCCATGGGGCAACTCCCATTCGATCTTCTATGCGAGGAATTCGAACTCTAGGTACCGACTGCTCCACCCTCGGAGGGGACACCCCCGGTGGGAATACAGGCGCCAACATCAGCAGTAGACGTCCAAACGCCACAGACCCCAACAACTAGTATCGGCGAAACTACAGGCATCCGAGGACTACCACCGAGGACCTCGTCGCGAATTCGACGACCACCGGAACGTTACGGGAATTACATATATTTTCCCTAAACAACGTCAAACAGGGGAGGTGTTGACGCCGCGGCTCGCAGGCCATCTAGCGATAATGACGCGACACGACAAGGAATGACGGAGCAGACCCCGAGTAGCGATAGACGAGTCAGCATGTGTATTAGAAAATCTTTTGCCAGAATATACGTTTAATAGTGGGTTTAACGACCGGAGTATTCTCATTGCACCCTTTCCCCTCCGCGGGTCTTCCCGCTAGGATAAGAGCATAACAATTAATAAAGATTTTTTTTGTCTTTTTTATATTTCATATATTTTCTTTTTATGTAACGCATATCTTACATACTTATATTAAGAATATAAATACATATAGTATTTTATATATTTTCATTTCTTGAAAATGAAAAATAAGCACTGTATGATTAATTAAATCACATTGTCCTTATGTATCCAAGAGTTGTGCGAATTGTCAAATCCCAGCCATTTCACGTAAACCTCGTCACCCCTCCTGCGCAGTACTTTCTCCATGAGACATTCGTCAGGATAATTCGCGCGATGCAACTCGTGCTCGTAGAACGCTCCAGCAATAGGTTTTTTGCGATAATCTTCAAGTAGATAACTTACGGGATTAGTATGCTGCACTTTTACAATTTTAAACACCTCGGTTGTCCAATTTGGCGTGTAACCCTTCTCGAAAACTATCTTGTACACTGCGCGACAACGATTCGTTCCGTAACCCCTCTTTCGCGGGGCAAGGGGAGCATAGAAGTGACCAATCAGCTGGCAGCGTGGCAATGGCTGATTGGTTAGAAGCTACGCTCCCCTTGCCTCGCGAGAGGGACCTAGGAACGAATCGTTGTCGCGCAGTGTACTTGCTAATGCGTACCGAGTCACCTACTTTGAATTTCGCCGGACCCGCGATATTTACACGGTTATATACAGTAGTCAAGAGTCTCTCGGCGATCGCGGGGGTAACGTCGACGGGTCGCATACCGATCGTTCGATGCTTGCGCGCGTTGTAATCCGATACAAGTCCCGGCAACGCCTTGACCCACTTGTAAGATCCGTTCAGCGTAAACATCTTCCGTATGTCGTTTTTCAGCGTGCGATTGAATCGCTCGATGATCGATGCTTTCAATACCGAATACGTAGAATAATGATTGATGTCGTGTTTTCGCATGAGCCGTTGCACGTCGGCGTTATAAAATTCCTTCCCCATGTCGGTCTGTATGTTTTTCGGACATCTCTCGCTATCTCGAATTATCTCGGCGATAGCGTCAGCTGTCTCGCTTCCGCCTTTACTCTTGAGCGGTACGGCCCACGCATGCTTGCTCAACGCATCGATGACTGTGAGTATGTAGTTGTAACCTCTGTTGAAACGAGAGTACGGACGCATCTCGACGATGTCGGCTTGCCACAGATCATCGTATCCCCGCACTATTACGTGTCTTCGGGGGAAATTTTTTCTCGCCGGTGCGTGCAGTTCATTCTGCCGTTTCTCTAAACTATGCTGTTTCTTCGTTTTCTCGATTATTCCCGATCATCGTTGTTTCGATTCACCGATCGAATGATGCGTGTATCACTATGCGTTTTATTATTCGTTGTCACTCTAGCCGTTCGATTGCCGTTGCTGACCCGTTCAATTGTCGTTTACAACCATTCGATTGTCGTTTATAGCCGTTAACTGCCGTTTGTTGCCGTTGCTGACCCGTTCGTAGCCGTTGCTGACCCGTTCGATTGCCGTTTATAGCCGTTCTTTAGCCGTTCGTAGCCGTTCACTGCCGTTCGATTACCGTTGCCGACCCGTTCGATTGCCATTTATAGCCGTTTGATTACCGTTTATAGCTGTTCCTTAGCCGTTCACTGCCGTTTTTGAGTCGTTTGTTGGCGTGATTGACCCTGTTGATAGACGTTTTTAAGTAGCCTCGTTCGCAGTCGTTTCTGACCCGTTCGTAGCCTCGTTGACTCGTTCGTAGCCGTTCCGGACTTGTATATCGCCTTGTATGTAGCCGTTCCTGACGCGTTCATAACCTTGTTCGCAGTCATCCTTGAGGTGCTCGTAGCCTCGTTCGCAGCTGTTCTTGAATTGTTCGTAGCCTCGTTCGAGACCGTTTCCTCTTCAATCACTCATTATAGCTCGATAACCGTTCGTAGCTGTTCTTGAATCGTTCGTAGCCGTTCGATAAATCTTTCTAGATGTTTAATAATTGTACAATAGCCACTCCTAAGCCGTTCACTACAACACATTATAGGTTGATAGACGTTTCTGAATTAGTGTTAATCATACGACGAAGCTCGTTTATCGCAGTCTGCAAAGCTCGCACGTCCTTCTCGAACGCAGTCAGCTTCTCGTCTGATTAACGCTAATTCAGAAACATCTATCAACCTATAATGTGTTGTAGTGAACGGCTTAGGAGCGGCTATTGTACACTTATGAAACATCAAGAAAGGTTTACTGAACGGCTACAAACGATTCAAGAACAGCTACGAACGGTTATTGAGCTATAATGAGTGACTGTGATCGAAGAGGAAACAGTCTCGAACGAGGCTATGAACGATTCAAAAACAGCTGCGAATGAGGCTACGAGCATCTCAAGGACGGCTGCGAACAAGGCTATGAACACGCCAGGAACGGCTACATACGAGGCGATATACAAGTCCGGAACGGCTACGAACGAGTCAAAAACGATTGTCAACGAGGCTACGAACGGGTCAGAAACGACTGCGAACGAGGCTACGGACTACTTAAAAACGACTATCAACAGAGTCAATCACGCCAACAAAGGGATCAAGAACGGCAGAGAACGGCAATTGAACAGTAGTGATATAAGGCGGGTTCTATCCCAGGTCCTCTCAGGGGGGGTGAGGCGCGTGGGGAATTACGGAGGCGCGGGGGAATGACGTCACGCGGGACGGAGGGGATTTCGGCAGCGGCGTGTGTTAGATGTTTTATCGCAATATTGTATTACATGTCCGATTGAAAAACAATATTGCTTACGAACATGTTCGGTTTATAAATAATATAAACAGCAGCATTTCTTCGACTGACAACGCGTGCGAGGGAGAGGGAGCGATGGCGCGAGAACAACGCGTGCGAGGAAGAGGGAGCGATGGCGCGAGAACAACGCGTGCGAGGGGGAGGGAGCGATGGCACGAGAACAACGCGTGCGAGGGAGAGGGAGCGATGGTGCGAGACTTACAATTAGCGCAACGATGATGTCGAACGAGGCTTACAACTAGTGCGAGAGAGAGACTTATAATTAGCGCGAGACTTAGATTAACGCATGGGAGATAACGATACTTATAACTAGCGCAGGGATGGGAACGCAAAGAGAGGCATGCGAAATAATTAGATTTTTTTTTAAAGTAAAATATATATAAAATTTATTTTAAAATGTGTGTGTGTATATTATACATATTCATGTGTGTGTGTGTGTGTGTATGTGTATTTAAAATTAAAATTGAAATAAAATGTAAAATATAAAAATATAAAAATATAAAAAATATAAAAATATAAAATATAATGATATAATAAAATATATAATTGGGGGAGGGGGAGTGCGCCGGGTCTGGGGGATGGTTGCTCCTGTAACAGAAAAAATATATAGTTATAATATATAGTAAAAATATATAGTTATAATAAGATTTATAAAAAAATACTTACATCTGTGCTCCCCATTACACATGCCATTGGGTGCCCGAATCTCCCCGGGCACCCAAATCTCCTCCTCCATGTATGGCTCTTCCCCGAAGAGCCGTCGTAGGTCGAAAATATCATCGCCGTCCGGCGGACTCTCCGGAGCGTCACCCCACATGAAGGAGAGATCCTGTCTCCTCCACCGCCGCTCCGCCCGCACCCACTGCCGGTGGTGGATATTCATAAATCCCGGTATTTTAACATCATACAGGGACTAAAAATAAAAAATATAATTAAAATAGATGCACAATTTTTTTTACAAATTATTCGCAAAATCAATACTTACATTCCAATCGAAGGCCAGCTTCATCAGCAAGACACAGAGCAAGTCTCCAAAGGCTTGCTTCCATCCGGCGCAGTTTTCCAAGAGGTATTCCATTTTTTCTTTTTCTTTACGTACTCTTCTTAACTCGCGCACTCTCGGAGACTTTCTGATGCGGCAGCGAGATCTCGGTCGTATAATAGAGATACGGTATTATCGTCGTAAACACCTCGTAAAAAAAAGTATGCGCGGTCCTATATGTTTATCGAAAGTATAAGCAATATTATATGCCCCGGTTGATAAACAAATAGTACCTCAGAATCATCTTCCACGATTTTTTTCTCGAAAGAATTTTTAACGTATCAGCGCCGATGTTTGGCTACTTGTTGAGAGCGTGCGAGGGAGATAGCGAAAGGAATGGGAACGCAAGGAAAGGCGCGTAAATAAATACATTTTTAAATTAAAAAATATAAAATTTAGTAAAATGTGTATGACTAACAAAATAATAAGTCTAAAATAATAAGAAAAAAATATAAAATATAAAATATAAAATTTAATCCGTTATATAGGATGTCCATAAATAATAATAAAATTTAATAACCCTTTGCACTCGAGACCTTTTTCGCTTGCGCGAACCAGCAACTCGAGACGATTTCGGCCAAATTCGGCAAACACTTTACAAGTACTTTAAAAACATTTATAAACAAACAAACATATACAAATAATAAAATTTCACCAGTTTATTCATTTATATGTCGAAAACAACAAACTTTGATAAATATTACACTCTGTAATTAGTTTTGGTGTGATATTTTGTAAAACAATATCTAAGATGCATCCTAGGTTTGTCAGGACACGTATCACAGTAATACGAAATTTCCCGCC